AAAATAACTGTACATACACGCATTTTACATGCGAGGCCCGATTTCGGGCCTCGCTTGTGCAAAACGGGCCTCGTTTGTATGAGTTATATGTAATTACAGGCCTCGCATGTGCAAATGATAGGTCTATATATATATATATATTGCCAAAGCGTTAGACGACTGTCTAAGTTAACTAACAAAATTTTAAAGTATAGTCGGGTATGCAGTCAAAGCCAAATTTGAAGTGTACTCTTTTTTATTGCTCGAGCTTTCGGAACAAATTATTCCTGCCTCAGGAGAAACTACAATGGAATATACATTGGTAACACCCACAAGTAATAATCTAACTTACTAAATTGAGATTTAAATCAAAAAATGTTCCAAGTTTAGAACAAAATCCATTTGAATTATTAGTCATAACCGTACGATCCGTAAAAAATATATTGTTAAAAACATTCATTGACACTATTGCTAAAATATTTATATTAAAATTGTTTAAAATTTTGAGCTATTGCTTTACAATTACATTTTAAAACTATATAACCTTAAAAACTTTGCAATTATGTGGTTTGGCTATTGCCGGTATCATCACAATAAAAAAAACAAAACATGAAAAATATCTAAAAAATATGAAAAGGCCAAAGTTTTGTCCCACTGGACAGGTCTGGATTCAAGCAGTGATATAGAGAATGTAATATCTACTTCTAGCGGGAATTCGACATAGTTGCGTACAAATATTTAAAAAAATAATTGACACATCCTGTTCTTTTCAATGAAACCGGACGACTGAACCCAGCAAGCACCCGGCAAGTGTGAAAGCGTCAATACAAAACTATGTACTACTACCACTTCGGTCGCCGGATAGCCGGTACACGGCAGCCGGGCAGGCAGTGGTGGCGAGCGGCTACAACCCGGCGGCCGTTCGTCGGATAGCTCCTTCCGTCACGTGTAAAAGCTGCCATAAGACTCCGTACACCTTGCTGCCGGGTAACCGGATCCGGTTAGCCGGTTCCGTCATGTGTGCAACGGGTGTAACAGCCGGCACCACTGCCGTGTACCGGCTATCCGGCGGCCGAAGTGGTAGTAGTGCGTAGTATTGACGTTTTCACACTTGCCGGGTTCAGTCGTGCGGTTTCATTGAAAAGAACAGGACGTGTCAATGATTTTTTAAAATATTTCTACGCCACTATGACGAATGTTTGTTCGCTAGAAATAGAGAATGCATTATTTATATCACTGGTTGAAACCAGACCTGTCCAGTGGGACAAAACTTTAGCATTTTAATATTTTTTGGATATAATTAATATTTTTTGTTTTTTTTATTGCGACGGCGTCGGCAATAGCCAAACCACATAATTGCAATCTCTTGTCGTGATAAAAATGCAACTGAGACTAATATCGGCCAAACCGGTTTGAAAATTAAATTACGTTTGGAAATGCCAGCAAGTGTGCAACGAGGCTTAGGGTTTTGCGAAGACAACTTGGGTGGGAGTGTACGCGTCTACGCGACACGAAATTGACAGGTTCCAAATTACCGATTTACATGGATTGAAAAGAGTTTGCGGGAGACTGGGCAATTTGGTGTTCGAGCCGTTGACTGTGTGGGTCGTCCTCAAGTACGAAATGCACCAGTTGAGGGAGACGTTTTAAATAGGGTCGCTGAAGATCCAAATATCAGTACTCGCCGTCTGACCGTGGAATTTGGCGTACCAAAAAGTACAATTAATCATAACACAGCAGCTTCTCCATCCTTACCATACGATGTCTATTCAGGAGCTTTTACTATACCATTTTGAGAGAATTTCGCCCATTTATTTAAGGAGCGTCGGCACGCAAATTTCACCAGCTGAATTTTATTCACCATTACGCAGAAGAAATCTCTCATGCGAGGCGTATTAACCACTTTCAGGTGGAATTTCCAATAAATGTTTGGGCTGAGATCATCGGTGGCATCCTTCTGGGCCCTTATGTCATGCCGCGCCGCTTGAGTAGCGAAAATTATTTCAAATTTCTGACGAATACTTTTCCGGTTCTAATGGAAGATGTCCCTCTCGATCTTCGTGCTCAGATATGGTTCATGCATGATGGTGCTCCTCCGCAGTTTAGTGCAAATGTAACCTCACATTTAAATAATACTTTTCCACACAAGTGGATCGGAAGAAGAGGGAGAGATGTTCCTGTCGAATGGCCACCCAGATCCACCAACTTAACGTTGTTAGATTTTTTTCTATGGGGAGCCTTGAAGAATAAAGTTTACGCTACTCCTGTGGAATCCCACGAAGAATTATTGCCTAGGATTCAAAACGAGACGGACGTAATACGGAAAAATCCAGAAATGTTGAGGATTGCTCAATTCAATTTCAATCGAAGGATCCAGCTATGCATCCAGGAAAATGGGGGGCATATCGAACATGTCTTGTAATTCCACTATCATCTATCGTATCTATGTAACTATCATCCAGTTTCAATAAAGAGAATTATGTCTTTTCTAAGTACGTCTTTAAATTTTTTGAGTGTTAACAAAAAATAAATCTAATGAAGTGAAATGATTCAATCCGTCATTGCGACAGACTTTAAAGTTGCGACCATATTACTTTCAATATTGATGTCCTAGGTAAAAGAATTGACAATTATTATTAGAGAAAGCTGCTTCTTGTAAAAGGGCAGATTTACTGCGATATATTTAAAATTGTTAAATCGCAACGAAACAGAAAACATTTTTTTGCGTAAAAACTATGAATGCTGCAAGATTTCCACAAGATACTTACTTACGATAGTACTGATTATAGTGAGTATTTGTTGTACTTGAGTAGTAGCGATAATTATTGCCTAAAATTGAAAAAAAAATGGGTAAAAAATATGAATACTACAAGATTTTACCAAAAGCACGAAAATCTCGAAAAAGGACTGATGCATCAATAAAAATAAAATGAGTTAATTCCAGTGACCAAATAAAAAGTTCTGGTAATTCCTGTACCAAGACACTCAAGAATTTACCACTAGCCCAAGGCAGACGGACACGGTTGCTTCATCAAAAAATGAGTTTTACTTAGGAACAAGTCCACAGCAAGTTTCATTAAAATTCATCGAATTCATTCTCCAGATATTACAAAAAACATATTTTGTTTCAAGAACTTTGACAGTCAATAGCAGAGGAGCCAGACATTTTTTCTTAATGGAAGTTGGGTCAAATCGTCTTCTTTTGAGCCAAAGAATATTGCAGTACCTTTTTGATTATGTGCTTATGGAACACACTGTATATATATACAGGGTGATTCACTTTGGTATTCGAGACCTCGTATCTCTTTTATTTTAACAAATAGCTATAATAAACCCTATATATTTTTAATTCGCCCCTCAAACTCTATCAAATGACATTATTAGATCGTCTTCACGGTAACATATGTCAAAATTGTTATAGTCAACTGTTTTTGTTTAAATGACACATTATATATTTTTTTATCAATTCTGGAAGATATATATAGATATTTTTTTAGCGTTCAGCTGTATAAGAAAGTATATAGTTTCATTAGAAATATTGTGAGTAGCTTTATTCTGAAAATAATTGCCAGCTGGGGAAACAACCGAATTTTGACGTTTCTAAATAAGGGTTTGTCAAAATAATTGACATTTTGTACCTACCTGTTCTATCTGTAACTAATTATCACATGAATACTTACAGTATTCAAGAAAAACTAGATTATTTTAATTTATGGAGCGTGCCGAAAGAACGCTAAAGCTGCCCGGTATTTACACCAACATCGTTTTTCGCAGACAACTTCCATCAGACAAAATTTTCGAAAAGTTAGCTAGGCATTTGGCAGGAGATGGAAGTTTTCAAAAGAAAAGAAGAGTTTTTAAACCCATAAGGGCAAGAGATGAAGAACATTCGATAAAGATGTTAAATGGCCTGCTAGATCTCCGGATCTCACTCCTATAGATTTCTTTCTTTGGCCTTGCCTAAAAGAAAAATTTTACTCTTTGCCTTTAAATGATATTGACGACTTTAAAAACATAACAAGAGTAAAATGTCGGAGATTAAATAATGAAGAAACACTAGAAAGGGTTTTGTAGAGAGGGGGTGATAAACAGAGCTATTGTATGTTTGGAAGCACATGGAGGTGATTTTGAACATTTGAAATAAGTATTGTTTTAAATGGTTATATTATTATCCTGTTAAAAATTAAATATGTATGTTTAAAAATCATATAATAACTTGTTTTCGCAGCTCTGGCTATTATTTTTCAGAATAAAGCTACTAAAAGTAGGGTTCATCTTTTTGCTGTTTTTCTGGCAATATTTCTAATGAAACTATAGAATTCCTTATATAGCTGAACGCAGAAAAAAATATCTTCCAGAAATGATAAAAAAATATATAGTGTGCCATTTGAACAAAAACAGTTGACTATAGCAATTTTGACATATGTTACCATGGAGACGATCTAATAATGTCATTTGATAGAATGTACTTTTTTTCCTAACTCTTATAGTTTCATGGCAAAATTGATTTTTCGGAAGGGTGCTTCTGGATTCTGTCGATAAACTTTAAAATGAACCTCAACAAAAATTTTCGAGTAGGCTGCTGTCAAGCAATGTTAATTTGACGTTTTAAATGTTATTTTTCGAATTGTTGCATAAATTATTCATTAGATAAAGTGTTCAAACTAATAGTAATAATAAGTTTAATAATGCCGTCCATATTTTCGAACAATGAATATGCTGATATGGTCTTTGTATATGATTTTTGTGATGGAAATGTCACGGCGGCTCGCCGTGAATATGCAGTAAGATTTCCTCATCGCAGACTACCAGCAAAGGTAACATTTTTCACGACATTCAGTCGTCTCAGACAAACTGGGCCTTTCGGTATTCCAACTTATGCTGATGGACATTTTGCCCTACCATTTCGATAAAAATCCATCCACGAGTGTCAGAAGATCTAGCTATGAGCTAGGTATTTCGTCAAGTTCTATTTGGAGGACTCTTCGGGCTGATAGACGCCATGCGTACCATATCCAGTGTGTGCAACATTTATTGTCTCAGGTCAGGACATACGATGCAGGCGCGTGATTTGTGACTGGATGTTAAGGTGTCCATATCCCTGGCAGAGAAATAGTCAAATTTCTGACGATTTTAGGTACTGAAATCTTGAAAAGTAAAACGTGTAGAACAAAAGCACAAAAATAAAATCCTTGATGTTCTGTTTATTCATTGTTTCTATTTAAATTTACTTAAATAAAATAATAACTTAAAAAAAGCGTTTGTAAAACATACGTTTGCTGTTATCCTAATCCCACATTTTAAGAATTATTTTCACGTACTTATAAATAAAAGTAAACAATTTTATATGTAGGACTAAGCAAGTAAATGTTTTAAGAATATTTACATGTGGAGTTGTATATAAAAAAGTTAGTATTTTCGTAGATTTCAGTACCTAAAACCTTGATGGTTTGATCGTTTTTTGCACCTGTTTATTCGTTTTACTGCGGCGTCTTTGAAAATACCCAGATGGCATGACATAACATTCCTATTATTTGATAAGCTTTATATTATTCAGTTATTAAATGTTTGAAATTATTTGTTTTTGTGAAAGACACTATTTAAAGAATAGGGCGCCCTTAAACCAAGCAGAAAATGATGATCAGTTTACGCAAAAAGTAATGTAGACAGATATTTTCAGTAGGGCCGTATTAATTTTTTTTATCCCGAGTCCCCATAACTCCGCCACTGGTTGCTTGCGAGACTTCTACTTCTATGGAAAAATGGTATATTATAAGAAGATGTGTCATGCCAAATTTAGCTTAAATACCCTTCATCATTTAGAAGTTATTTAAAAAATTCGAATTTTTTTAAAAATCTTTAATGTCCTATATTTCGAAAATGAAGCATCTCTGGAAAAAAATTCATACTTAATTTTTTTCTTATTTTTTTATGAGGAATATCCTTAAAGTTTGTCGACTTAATCCTGAAACACCCTGTATACAGGGTGTCCGCAAATTTTACCGACAACGTTTGACT